TTTTCTTGACTTCTTTTTTTCTCATCCAAACTCACCCTGTAGTGGAGTTATCCTGACTGATGACTTTATATACCATCTGCATGGACTTCCCAGCTTTGTGTCCGTAGCCCAGACCTCTCTCTTCCTGGAACCTGTATCTTAACTTCCTGCTCAACATCTCCATTTAGATACCCAGGAGGACTCTTCAGGTTTACATATCTGAGGTTGATTTCTTGGTTCTACTTCCCCAGGCCTGTCCCTCCCCCAGTACTTCCTGTGTTGGTAAAGGCTAACTTCCTTCACCCACTTATTTAAACCACAAATCTTGGAGTCATCCTTGACTTTTCTTCTGACCAACTATATCCAAACCATTGACAACATTCCACTGGGCCTCCCTTCAAATTGTATTTCCAATCTAACCATTTCTTACCATCACCAGCTCCTGAAGACCCCTCGTCTCTGAGTGGACTATTGCAGTAGTCTCATTACTGGTCTCCCCACGTCCATCTGTCCCTCTACGGCACCCAGAGTGATCCTTTTAAAATGCCAAGTGACTTTTCCCCTTAGAACCTTCCAGAGGCACATCATTGTCCTTAGAATAAAATGTGCCATCCTTATGAAAGCCATATGTGATTTTCCCCCCTCACCACCACCAATACACACACACACCTGTTACCTGCCCTCCTAACCCCTCCCCTGGTTTGCTGTCCTGTTTTTTCTCCCCCCAGGCACACACCATCTACAGAGCCTGGGTGTTCATGCTTCTCCCTGTCTGAAATGCACTATGTTCACATGGCTCACCCTCCACTCAGATCTCTGGGTAAAGCTCATCTTCATACCTACTACAGCCTTCCCCCCCACCAACATATCTAAAACAGACACTTTGGACGTTTATTTCTCCTCATAACATCACAACCTTCTGACACATCATGTTTATTTGTTTCTTGTCTTCCCCATGGGATGGAGATTCCGTGAGAGCAAGGATGTTTTCTGTGAGTCCACATCCTTTTCCACAAAGGCCTAAAAACAGTGTTCGGTACAGAGTTCAGTGTTGCTTGATTGGATGATTCTGCCGGACTCTGCTCAGTTATCAAGTCTGTTCGTGCCCCATTAGAGTGGGCAGAAGTTCATTAACTCTGCTGGGTATCAGAATCACTGGGGAAATTGCTTAAAATGCATATGCTTTGACTCTACCCCCTGGAGATCCAAATGCAGTAGATCCTGGGGTAGAATCTGGAACATTTTTTAACAAGCTCCCCCGGTAATTTTGATGCCTGAGGTAACTGGACCATACTTTGCCAAACACTGCCTCAGTGGACCGGTTTACATTTGTTTATCTGTTGCTCTGTTCTGTCAAGTATTATTTCATGTATATCAGCAGTGCTTGAATCACCTGGGAACCTAAATATAGATCTCGTAGTCCCACCCTAGATCTGGTGAATCAGAACTTCCAGGGATGGGTCTTGGGAATCTATATTTTTTGAAAAGCTCCCTTGGTGACAGTCTTCCCAATAGCCTGTGGGAGCCTCAGCTGTGTTTTACAGGCTCCTTGAGGAGGTTATAAACTCAAGAGCAGGTGTTTCTTATGTCTTTTTAGGCCAACTTCTCTTCCCATCCCTCATTAATCCAACCGTGTTCTACTCAAAACTGGTATTCAGTAAGTCACCATGGAGTGAACACCTTGATTTATCCACAGTTTCGATTTGCCTTTGTAACTTGAACATCAGCCAGTATTTCTAACTATATTTAAATCCAGCCCATTCTCTGATTAGAGGCAGGAAGCATGTCTTAGCTGCCTCGATAATTCTGGTGGGGATTCTCTTTGCAGTCTTTTCTATCCACAAATTTAAAATGTGTTTCCCAAGTCAGACCAGACAGCACTGAGGTAACATCACCGATCTTCATACTTAAACACTCACCCATTCAGCCTTCCTTTTGGACCTGTTCTAGGGCACACATCCTTAGCCTCAGGGTTCATCCACTAGACTCCACAGCATCCCTGGGGATTGCAACAAGACCTGATCCCTTGCTGTGGGAGCTTTCCTGGGCTGCTCAATCTGCCAAGGAAGGTGTCCCCCTGGATTAGATTCCCTTTGGGGCCTGTGGCCCTGCCCTACTTCTTTTTGGTTTTGTCCTGGAACTATATATAGACACTCTTTACAGCTGGAAAGTTTAAAACTAAAAATGAAAGCATTACCAAAAATTAAAAAGTAAATGGGTGGGGAGTGGACAGGGCAGGTGATGATACTTGCAGGATTTTATTCCTTGGCTAGACTCAGAGCTAGCCTCTAGGTTAAGAAGAATCACTGATGAAGGCCCAAAGAGAGCCCTTTGGTTAACCTATTCCTTTTCTTTTTTTTTTTTTAGTGGTATTTTGAGATTTAAAAAAAAAAGATTTATTTTAGAGAGCAAGCAGGGGGAGGGGCCAAGGGAGAGGGAGAGAGAGAATCACATGCAGACTCCCCGCTGAGCACTGAGCCTGATGTGGGGCTCAGTCCCAGGACCCTGGGATCATGACCTGAGTCAAAATCAAGAGTCAGGTGCTTAACCGACTGAGCCACCCAGGCGCCCCTTGGTTAACCTCTTTCTTAAATAACTGAGTCCCCGTGGAGTGTGCATTCTGGACTTTGGATGGCCAACTGGTAACCTTTTTTAATATATTGAGTTCGTGTGTATTCTTTGCAGAAGATGTCTGGGTCATTATTCAAGGCAGAATCTAAAAAGGAGTAGTGTCATTTAGGTAAACACAAGAAGCACTTCCGAACACCCATGGTCTGTACCTTAGAGTTTTGCCTCTGGATAAGCCACAGATTACATTTTGGTGCCAGATGTGAGAAGCCATTAGTAATCGGGACAACTCCCCTGGGAAATCCTGTTACCAGTCCCTGTTCCAGAGGATCACTGCTTCCTCTGGAATATTTCTTTGGGGGGCTCTGGAGGCTGCGATTTAGTGACAAAGGGGAATGACTTGACCCTAGAAAAATAAGAATGAGAGATTTCTAATGAGATCTGACAGTTCAAGGACTGAAGAAGGAATCTAAGCTTTTTTTTTTTTTATTTTCCTGCCCACCCAGTCTTCATACAAATGTAAATATGCCTCCTTCAACAAATTGCCAAATGTGGTTTTAATTTGTAAGCAGGAGACCCTGCCTTGCCATTTTCTTTTCTTTTTCTCTCTTTTTTAAAACCGAAGTCACAGGTTTTGCCCTTTTTGAACTGGACATTTCCTTATGTCACTCCATCACATTTTCTGTTGTCCTTTTCCTTCCAAGGACATTTTCCCCCATTGTTTGTGATCAGAGGAATTTGGGACGAGAGTCAATTGTCATGTTTCTTAAAGAAGTTTTTGAAGTTCCCATAGGAAATACATAGTGCTCTTTAAACTGAATTTAAAAAATAAATAAATGAAGGCAGAGATTGGATCTAGTATAAGATTTGACGAGTGTCACTATCGCGGCATCATACTTTATGTGGGCTACGCAGTATCCATTGTTGTTATTTATGACCCTGTCTGCCTTCCATTGTGGACTTCTTCAAGCCTTGGGGAATTTACATCATTCCTAATAGCAAAAGGCTTTCTGGTTCCCACAGAGTTGTTCAAAGCCTGACTCATGCTCCTTATGTTAATTGTTCAGCTCTGAAAATACAGCACTTACAGGGTGTGGTCATAAGGGGAAAATCTACTGTACTTATAGGGCATGTTTAGAAGTGTTTCACACATAAATCTGTCTCTCTCATTTCTCCCTCTCTCCCTGTACCCCCTCTCTCTCTCCCCCTTTCTTCCCCCTCCCCTCCATCTCTTTCTCTCTCTTATTTAACTTTAAAACTGTAGCTCTATTTAGTCGACTAGTAAGTCTTAAGGGGAGAAAGGGAGAAGCATCAAAATGCAGTATAATCCAATAAAACCTACAATATCCTGTTCACTAACTCTTAAAACTGACTTAGGTTATAACTGGATATGACTATGAGTGACATTGATCCAGGTCTGAAACCATAGGCGGGATTAGCGGGAGCTAAAGACTCATACTCGGGGCTGCAGGGTAGTGATTTCACAAAGGTCAGAGCACTGGCCTGTGGGGCACCCAGGCATCATACTGATGGCTGCTGTCTACCAGGCGTTCTGGGACTGCCATTGTTAAATTCCAATGTAAGTCTAAAGCAAGGGACCTACTGATAATTTCCCAAAATTGTTCCTTATGGCCTCAACATTTTACTGTGGAATTTGGTGGAGAAGGGCACTTACTGTCCCAGGAAATGAGAAGAGTTAACACCTTGTCTGGATTATCTACTTAACAAAAAGGAAATGATTCCAAAACTATGAAATAGGTCAATGTTGGCAAAGATTGGGAGTTTTTGACATTTTATAAGTACTTCTATATGAAGCTTCCTTGGGAACATATAGTGATAGATACACAGATAATCTCTGAATTATGTAAAAACTGTGGTAGTGCTGTTAGTTTAAGAAAAAACTCCCAGTTTTCTGGTAGCCAAGAATCACAAACTTCAGTTTTCAAAGTACCAGTATTCAAAGGCCTAACTCACTTATGTAGCCTTGAGTTTTGCAAAGGCCGCGTTCTGTATTTTTGTAAATAGAGAAAATGTGTGGAATTCTTAGGCTAATCAGGGTACAGACCATGGTGCCACCAGGTCTCTCTGGAAGATCAGAGCTCACACACATGCTGCTGCCTGGCACTGTGATTCTGGGCTTCAACACACTTGGGGCCACAAAGTTAGCAGATATTGGCCAAGGGTTCCCATATGGTTTGGAACCAACATCCTTTCTCTTACAGTTTTGTATGTCTGTGGTGCAGATTAACATATGAACTGCGTTGGGTAGGAGTCCAAAAAAAGTGACATTTACTGAAAAGTTCTAGATTTAAAAAAATTAAAATAGCTTAACACTAAGTGGTTTCATCTAGTCTTCACAAAAATCCGTTCACTGGGGCATTCAGAGCAGAACTGTTTTTTCTCATGTTCAGCTAATAGATTTCTGGTTGAACCTTTGTTATCTTTTGGAGTAGACGGAAGGAGCTCTCCACGGAGCGTCTGATTATTTTGCTGAGTGTGCGGAGAGTTCACTTCCTCCCAGTGCAAGGCGCAAGAGAAATGCTCTGAAAGAAATGTAGGTCCGATAAGTTTTCTTTTCCTTCTTTTTGATTGTGTGTGTGTGTGTGTGTATGGATATGTGACATGAAGTCTGGAACTCAACAGGAGTTCATAGAAATTAATCACAAAACTCCCTCTGGCATCGACCTTACCCTAAGTCCCATGCTTGCCCTTCTGCCTTCCTGACTGTCTCTTGCATTCTGGACAGTGGGGAGCGAGTCCTTGCTTCACAGGTGTGTTGCAAGGAGTAATTAATTACAAGCGCTTTGAAGATGAAAAGCACCTGTTTGGTGGTGTGTTTCATACAACTTTCCAAGTGACTACAGACCCATCTAAAAAAATACATTCCTTTGCTAAAATGCAGGTTCTGATTCTAATAATTATGATAATCCTCATGCCTCTGATTAGGAACAATAAGAACATGTGTGTATGTGTGTATGTGTGTGTGTGTGTTTCCAGACTAAAGCTTAGCCAAAGTAAATATTTCAGCTTCAGTGTTTTGAGTTTGGTGGTTTAAGAAATTTCTTGTTATTCACAAGCCTGCAAATCGGTGTTGAAGTTAAAGTCTCCAGTCTCTCAATTCTCCCCATGCCGCTCCTGCCCTGCCCCTCAAAGTGAATTTTACAATCAGACTGAAGTTTGCATTGCCTTTTGTGTGTACTATAGAAAAGGTGTGTGTATGTGCATATAAGCACATCCTTGTGTGCACACGTGCTCATACACACACACATGTGCGCACACACAGCCTGTGCTTTGGATATATCTGATTATTTACTTCTGCGGTAATAAAACCAATATATCACATTTAGGCAATATTGACTCTTCACATCTGAAATGAACACCTCCCTGCCTTAGTTAAAATAGATCCATCATAACTCCAATATAACTACATTGCAAACCCAGTGATCAAGAAACAAAGCCTGTCCTCGTGTATCTTAATAACTAATCCTCGTGTGTTGGAAAATGTGATGGCTCTTGCTTGATCCAGTCTGAATTTAAACATAACACTAAGGGATTGTTCTAGATTTGCCAGGGAGGTAAAGGAGAAGGAAAGGTAGCACGTGCCTCCTTTTTGAGGTCTAAGAAACGTGATAAGGGGTATAGGAATTGGAGGGCAGCATGCCATTACAGCTTTACAAAACAAAACAAAATCGTTCTTTGTTTTAGTGCGAAAAGAACTGAAACAAGAAGCAGCGTTGTGAGCAAATCATGGAGCAGCAGGGACATTGTGGGAACTTCTAGTGACCCAGTGATGGCAGAGATAACGAGGAGGAGGGGTGACAGTTGGGCTTCAACCAGTCCCCCATCAGAGTCCACGGGACAAGCAAAAGATTACATAAAGGCAGCTGAGAGCCACTGGGGGCTTCCTGTTCAAAAGCTGGAAAATGTTCATCAGACCCAGCCAGAAGACACTAGCAGCCAGCAAAAACCTCATTTCGGGGAGTGGTTAGAGACAGGGCTTCTAGGCAGGAGCCCTGTCTGTAGCTGTGAGTCAGCATCACCAGGTCCAAAACAAAGTCCACAAGGGGCCAGAACACAACAGAAACGCAGGAACCGCGGCTCTGCAGCAGACGTTGACCACCACAAGAGAGTTTCTCTTGGAAGTGATCGATTAGTCCCAAGAGAAATAATAGTGGAAAAAAGCAAAGCTGTCAGGGTTTTGCCAGCCTCAGAGCTGTCAGATCCGGGGTTACTTTTGAAACAAGGTTTGGCAAAAACGGCATCTAATGAAGAGTTGCATGTTTTGGAAAATCTCTCCTCCGGACATCTTACAAAAAATCAGCCAGGGCAGGCACAGCAAACCGGCTCAGCCACAAACAGTGAAAGATTATCTGCAATCCGGGGCAGCCCAACCAAGAAAAGAAAGAAGTACGAAAGAGGCCACTAACTTACTAACGGGGATTGCAAATTTGTAGTTGGGTATATAATGGCTGAAGGTGCGGAAAGAGAGGGGTGTGTGTAGCTGCCCTGATGTTAAAGGAATTAGAATGATTATTTTGTATAGAAAATAGAGCTCCGTGTGAGGGTTAATTTTTAACGCATTCATCTGCAAGAGGCTATGTGCTTTTTCTAACAACATTGCTACTTTCTCATCATACTTTTCTGTCTTCAGAGCCATTCACCTTGTCAAGGATGACCCCATTCTTGAACGAACTGCGTGAAGAAACCAGTCATGTGCCTTTGTGACTCATCACTGGGCAGACCATACAATGGGCCACATGAAGACAGTGCTGTATATAGGGGTACAATTTCTTCTCTTGTTCCTCAGCCTGAGTTGGGCAGAAGTGAAGGAACAGGCTAGTGGTCCTCAACATCTGGTTCTGGGCCCAACATCACTGTCTGAAAATGTGTTAGAAATGCAGACCTTGGGCCCCACCCCAGATCTACTGAATGAGAAACTCTGGGCAATTCTGAAACATGCTCAAGTTTGAGAACCACTGGACTAATTGGAGACTCCCTAGTGTTTGTTCCCTCCAGCCTGGCTCCCATGGCCTCCAGCTCATCTGCCTGAGGCCCACATGTGGACAGGCACCCCCTCGTGCCCTCTCAGACTTGTAAAACACCTGGGTTCAGCGTCTGAGCTGCTCTGTTCCTGGTTTCTCTACAGCATGGTGGCCACAGCACCCACAAAAGTGTTACCCTAAGAAGTGCTAGAAGTTTATGGGTAATTTGGCTCAGCATTAGAGGAAGACAGTAGAGGGAGAGGCTTGCTCTCCCTTGTAGCCCAGGCGTGTCCCTGTCCCTGCCCTTGCCCCCACCTCTAAGATTTTGGTTAGGTTCAGGAAGGATTAGAACCCAAGGGGAACTCAGTGGCCAGAGTTTCCAGTTTCCCAGTTGGAAGGCGTCACAAACAGTTTGAATTTCAAAACAGGAGGCTTCCATTTGCAGTATCACCCACTAATGTCTCCAGTGGGCTTGCTGAAATGTCACAGAGTGAATCATTGCAGTGACTTATTTTGGATGGACACCTACTAAAGATTTTCTTAACCCAATTTCATTCTAAAATAGGGGAAAAACCATATTCAAAGGCCACCCATCAAATACATTTTTTTTCTGTTCAACATTGTGTGGTCCTTTGAAGTAGCACCTCCCTAGTAACAAGGAAAATCAAGTATATTCCCACAGTGTTGGAGTTAGCAGAAAAATAACCCAGAAAAAGCCCAATGAAATAAAAGAATATGGAAACAGACACAGTGTAGGTGGTTCAGAATGCTCAAAACTAATTGTGGTTTTGTTTCTCTAGCTCATTCTATACTTGCCTCTGACTTCTTTCCCACTTGAAGGGTAGGACTCCTTAAGAGGCAACTGTACTCCCTGACACCATTTTGGGTCATGAAGTTCAGTGTTGGTCACTACCCTTGGCCATGAACGTAGATGCTATTCTTTTGATGTTCCCCACACTGCCTGGACACCTGTCCCCTTCTCGTGGTCCCAGCCTCACCACCCCCACCACCCCCACCACCCCCACCAGGAACATGGCCTGCCCACCAGTGACCTTTCCTCTTCCCGCAGGTTTTTCCCTGCTCTTAGCTGATTCCAGTCAAAGCATTCTGTAGGAGAAGAGGGAGCCCAACAGAATACTACCCAGAGTCAAGCAGATTGTATTCATCCATTTGGGGGTAGACTGCACAGAACGGAAATGCTCCACTGTGGGCCCCCTCTCTTGGAGTGACAACTGTTCTAGGTGTGCTCTTCACCGAAGTCAGGGGCAGAGTGTGTCACTGAATCTTCTTCAACAGAATTCTTGGAACAGTTTAAACAGAAAGGGGCCCAAAGAATAACCCAGGTGATCGGCCAAAAAACAATAAGCTCCCTAGAACGGAATCTCGAATAAAAAAGACAACCATTTCAGAACACTAGCTGTTAACCCAGCACTAGAAGGAGATGTTTGGAATAGAGGTGCCAGAGAAAAGCTATAAGTTGAAAAGTTTTCATTTCATTTATTAACCAGGGCCTGCACAGCAGGTAAAGCCAATCTTTGTGATTTAATGATTTTCTCTCAAGAACAGCCTTGGCTTTAGAGTTTGGTGTATTTGTGGAAATAACAATTACTGTGACCTCAAAGGGAAAATAGCACCTTTGGTTGTAGGTTGATAGGGTCTTTCTCACAGCCCACATGTACATGGGATTGTGACAGGATTAACGGAGGGAACAGCTCTCTGCTTCCGCACTGTGGCATGTGTCTGAGGAATTTTGCCTTTAAGCATTTTCTCCCACATGTCTGAAACACCCCCGGATCTCTTATTACTTGAGTGGTTGTGTGATTCTTTGGATGTTTGAAAGTACAAAGGGGAAAATGGCTGCCAGGTTTTATTGTTGCTTATTAGCTAGGAAATGCAGAGTTCTCCACGACTGGGAGTGGTATGTGTGTTGACATTCTTAATAATCTTATTAATTCCGCATCTGAAAATCTGAGAGCCTGTCAATATTCTTAGACAAAAAGAACAAATTCTTCAACCACTTAATAACCCAAACTCAATTTATATTCAAGTCCCTTTAATTCTGATGCTTGGGAGAAATATGGATCCGATTCTGTTAATGTTACAACTTTGAACTCCCTAACTATCCCAGTGTCATGGCTTTTAAGTCACATCCATGTGCTTTCAGATGACTTTTTAATAGATTGATGTTGAGTGTTGTGTTTTTGTTGTTGTTGTTTAATGTCTATAAACAAATCTCTGAGAATAGTCAATGTGATTTTTCTTACACTTTTTTTTTTCTTTGCCACTGGAGGTTAACTGTTGTCCAGATATGCATGTAAATTGTTAAATCAAAGGAGCAACCATTTGGGGAGAGAGGAGTGAGTGCTATAGCTCTTTTGTTTATTTATATTAAAGAAGTAAGAAAATGTACTTCATTTTATAAAAAGCAAGAATCATTAAAACCTCTGTAGTTTGATTTATGGAAAATATAGCTTATTTCTTATCTCAAGATATGTCTTAGGGATAACAGTGGGATCCCAGTTAATTGTTTGCTTCTGGTGTCATGTTTGGATTTTAGCATGAATTGTTTTGCATCGCACGGCCTTTGATTTTAGCAAGAGCTTGGTAAGGGCAAAGCACCTAAGGGAAGGAAACCTCTGTGCCCAAGAGTCGGCCTGGGATCACAGTGCTGCCATTCCCAGTTTCCTTGAATGCCTTCTTGGCAGGCCCCACTGTCCTATTTCCACAGAATTTTAGTGAGTGGCCTTCCTTTTGAGGTAACAGATGCCTCTCCTAAGAGCCAAAATCCTCTCTTCAGAGTCCCATGACTTGAATATGGAAATCATTTCAATTTCTTCTTTTCTCTTATGAGGAAATTTCCATGCTCATTTTGTTAAGATTTGTTAAGATGATAGAGTTCATTCCTTGTTATTGAAACACTAATGAATTGAAACACGGTGGAGCAAGTGAAAAATCAAAATTACGCTGATTTCTGTTAAGTAGTTTAAAATCTTCCTTAAGTAAATTAAGCATTATAAAATGAAGTTAATGCAGATAATTACTCAGGACAGAAGTCTAACTATATAGATCATTGGTATTGCAATTTAATGATATAGTTAAATTCTCAGAAATCTGCAGAACTCCTTCTAATTTGGTTTCTATATTTAACAAGACAAGGAACAAATATATGTCAATGTGTGTGCTTAACAGAGGGGACTTGAGTGGATGAAATTATTACCTTTAATTGTGGAGAACTACTCAATACTGGACTTTAATCACATTCAAGTAAGTTTTATTGTGCAGCATAATATTACCATGTGTTACTTTATAATTGCCGTTAGAATTACTTATCAAAAATCTTGATTCTTAAATTAAACAAGAATCAATAAAACCATACGTATGTCCCCAAAGCATCTGATCAGGTGACCATAGATGTGGATTTGACAGAACCCCAGAATAAGTTTCATTAGTCAAGTTAGGAAGCCAGACGCTGCAGTCATCACCAGGAGAGTTCTTTTTTCCCTATCACAGTTATCCTGTCTTTTGTTTTGTTTAAACTGCTTGAATAGTTGAACGTGTCTGAAAGTACATGGGTCAAAGTAGTATGTAGAGGAAACGAACCTGCTTTATAAATAAAAAGTAAAACTGTTTAAAAAAATAAATGTGTATCACTTTTCTCCAAAACAAGTGAGTTAGCCCCAAGGAATATACATCCAAAATGCCCTTTTCTGAACCTGCGATTTAAAATTATATTCTCTTAGAGATTTTTTCCTTCTTGAAGCAACTCTGAGGTTTTGAGCACTATGTTAAAATAATCCCAAGGAGCTCTGCTTCTGAACATTTAGGTCTGGAGAACCCTGTGTGGGGTGTTATGATTAAATTGGCCCATAAGATTCTGGGGTGGTCTTTACAATGCAGATATGTTCCCATTTCTTCCAGTTGTGAGCTAAGAGAAATCCCTCTTGTGAGAAGTTAAAGTATGCAACCTTGACTCCTTTCCAGAAAAATCTTGACATTTCCCAAGTGGATTCATTTCCATTTTCTAAGTGGATCTAGTCCTTGTTCACCACTGAATAAAGTCCTGGGCCAACTCTTTGTCTACACTGCCTGTTATGACGGGATCTCAGGCCCCTCTTATTGCTTGTATATGTATCTCCCCTTGGATCTGTACATAACCTTTCAGAGGCATTTCAATATGAGGTTGGGATAATACATTTGAAAAGCTGTGCGTGAAATGCCGAGAACCACTGCAGTCGATGAAGCAAAGCCCCTTTCTTTGTGGTTTGCCCCTGCCAGCATGCTGGCTGGCCTGGCCCACGGGGAGGCTGACCTGCCCTGGGCCTGGGGTCTGGGCTGGGGATCCAGAGCCTGGAGATGGCGTGGTGCTCCAGGCTGCAAACCCTGGGTTCAGGCTGCCGCTTTGCCACTAATTGGTTTGTGTGTTTTGGGACAAGTCTCTTAACCTCCCGGGCCTCAGTTTCTTCCTTTGTCAAATAAAATTCTCTCTCCTATTTTAAGTGCCACACTGAAGGTAAACATACCACTCCCATGTGGTAATTTTTGTATCCATTTAAAAAACAGGTTCTTCCCACTGGCCGCACTTTGGAATTACCTTAGTAGTTTCTAGTTAAATCAGAATCCTTGAAATTTGGCCTGGGTATCAGCAGTTTTAAAAACGCTTCAA